GTAGCCGTAAATCATATAAACCAATTGATTACACCGCAATTGAACCTTTTCCCTGATACTGTTTTTTGAGTGGCAGTATATTGCATGGCAAGTAATCGCATTCCTGGTACATGTAAATGGTCAAGTTGGTGACAAGACACACAGTGGGTCCAACCAAATAAACGCGCAGTGATACCTATGTAGTAATAGAAGATCCATCCATTGTAGTGAGTGTAAATACATGTGGGGTCACATGGAGCACCTGGAAGTGGTCACCTGTTTTTTCTGTTACTAATGGCACCAATACCTGCTCACCTATCCTTTGGCTTTCAAGCAACTATTATTTAGTTACTGATATATTGGACATTATTTATATTATCTTGTGTTGTCCATTTATATAATTTTTTTTTTGCCATTTTTTGCATTTTCACATGGCAAAATATTAAGTAATTTTGGTTCACATTTTTGGCAGCACAGTCTATATTTATAAGACTCATTAATGTGGATGTTAGACACATTTTGAAGACTGCGGCAGCCATAATCACACTCATCTGTGTTTCTTTATTTTTGGCTTCTTTTGGTTTTGTCTGTGGTGTAGAGTTTGCATTGTTAATAGAACTTAAAATAGTTCCCTTTATAACCTTAAAGATTTTTTTTTCACTGCCCAACCCATCACACCCAATACAGAAAATATCTTACAAATCTATTAATTATCTATCCTCTTCACAGTTAGCAGTGGAAACATGTTCTCTGGAGTGATGGATCACACTTCTCTGGAAATCCAATGGATGTGTCTGGTTTTGGCGGTTGCCAGGAGAACAGTACTTTCCTGATTGCATCCCAGATAGCAAGAAATTGTGCTGCAAATTTGAAATGACTTGCTAAGCTATTTCTCAACTTGCCAGGGTTCACAAGTTTGTTGCACAATTGCAGTAATTCCGCATTGCATGACTCCAGTTCAACTTTCTTTGCAAACATTCTGCAAGTTTGCTGCAAGCTCTGGTTCAGTTATGAGAATTGCGGGACTCATGCTGTAGACTCACCACTTTGCTCTTTGCTAGAAACTTGCCATACAAATGTGCTACAAACTGGAAGTGTCAATGTCAACTAGAACTTGTGCTTTAAGTGCTCTGAAAGCGCACAATTTGCCAGTGAGTTAACAAGACTTACAATTCAACACTGCCACAAATTTGTGTTACGCTATCTTTGCTATCTGGGATTGTGCCAAGTGTAAAGTTTGGTGGAGGGGGGTGTAGGGTTGCATTTCAGGGGTTGGGTTTAGACCCTTAGTTCCAGTGAAGGGAACTCTTAATGCATAAGCATACCAAGATATTTTGAACAATTTTATGGTCCTAACTTTGTGAGAACAGTTTGGGGATGGCCCCTTCCTGTTCCAACATGGCTGAGCACCAGTGCAGAAAGCAAGGTCCATAAAGACATGGATGAGCGAATTTAGGGTGGAGGAACTTGACTGGTCTGCACAGAATCCTGACCTCAACCTGATAGAACATCTTTGGGATAAATTAGAGTTAAGACTGGGAGCCAGGCCTTCTCGTCCGACATCAGTGCCTGATCTCACACAAGCGCTTCTTGAACAATTGTCAAACATTCCCAAAGACACACTCCTAAAACTTGTGCACAGCCTTCCTAGAAGAGTTGAAGCTGTTATAGCTGCAGAGGGTGTGACAACCCAAAATTGAACCCTACTGGGACTGGGATGCCATTAAAGTTAATGTGCGTGTAAAGTCAGGCGTCCCAATACTTTTGGCAATATAGTATATATATATATATATATATATATATATATATATGTATTCAGGGCTTTTTTTTTCAGAGAATTGGTGCAGGAACTCCCTCTTTCCGAGTCACTTCCTGTCTTTGCCTCTACCCACCTCTGAGCACCATTTCTTGGTTCCACCCCCTACCCACCTCCCAGTGCGTCCATTTGAAAGAATACAGAACCAAGTATTATTTTGTGAAGCTAAGTAAATTGTGTGGAATGTATTAATGATAACAAGAAAAGAAGTAAAATAGATCCCCAGCAGTGACAATAGATCTCTCGGTAGCCAGAGTCCATGGACCCTCCAGAAGCAATAGACCCCTCCCTCAACAGTAGATCCCTCCCATCAACAATTGACCCCCCAGCAATAAAAGACCCAACCCCAGTAAAAAAAAGACCCCAGCAGCAACAATAGACCTCCCTAGCAGCAATAGTTACTCCCACAGAAATAGATCTTCTCCAGCAACAATAGATCCCCCTGAAGCAAGAATCAGTAGACCCTGCAGCACACTCCAGTACCCATTGCCATTACATACATTTGGTGCCAAACTGCATTCCCCCATGTTCCCGCTGAAAAAAAACAACCCTGTATGTATTACAGAAATCGTCAGTGATAATAAACTCCCTGATGAAGACATATACTAGAAATTCCTGTAAAATTCACCCGTTTTGTAAGATTTAAAGTGGATTTCCACTTATTTGCCCTCTTCCACTGCCACCTTATGCGGGGGAGCGGGTACCTGCTTTTGACAGGTACCCACTTCCCATACAGATCGCTGCGGCAAAGTGAGCTGGAAGTTCAGCCCCCTCCTCTCTCCCGCAGTCTCCTGGGAACTTTCAAAGGTCCCAGGAGACTACTGGACCAATTAGGAGGCGCAGCGCAACTCACGCTTGCGCCATGGGCACCAGGCTGTTAAGCCGAAAGCTGTCACAGCCTGGTGCTCACAGTTGAGATGCCGGCACCGTGGAGGAGAGAAGGAATGGTGCGAGTGAGAACATTGATGGACTCCGGGACAGGTAAGCGTGTGTTTATTAAAAGTAAGCAGCTACAGTTTTTGTAGCTGCTGACTTTCAATAAAGACAAAATCGGCTGGAGCTCCGCTTTAATTATATTCTGTATTTCGGGATAGATCTTTCAATCAAACATTTTCTGCAGTCTACATACCCCTATACCTAAGCAGAAGGAGGTATATCCTTTTTAACCTTTGAGAAAGCCGACTGGGGCGCAATGCGTCAGACATACAGTGATGTCATCACACTGGGTGAAACTTAGACGCCATTCTGGAAAGTTGAGCATGCTAATAGCCTGTTACATGCCTTTAAAAACTTTTTAACATGTAAGTGGAATTTTAACTTTCTTATGGAAATAAACTAGCAGTCTACACTGTTGGATGTTTCTTTGCTTCCTTTTAATATAGCTATTCCTGGGAGATAGGTAATGACCAGGTGAGTGTTAAAGAGACTCCTGGCCTCAAATATAAAAGAAAAGCTCAACTGACCCTCCTTTTTGCAGTGAAGTCCATGATATAAAGGTGAGGAGACACCCATGAGGTGTGGTGAAGGGCCCGGTAGTGTTTATTGAAGGAAGTCATATTGCTGTCCTAACAGGAATCAATATGTTGATTGAGGATTGCACGAAGAATGGTTGGTGTATGGGACTCTAACACTGGACTACATGTTTTTTTCTTTGAAACTATATATGTATTTTTTGCACATTCACAAAATGATACTGAGTACTGGGGGATCTGTTTATGATAAAGGGGTATGGTATGAGGATATATTTGATTTGTTATACTGGAAGCTCTTCACCATTATTTGATAGTGACTCTAACAAGCACAACGAAAGCCCTATATACAGCAAACTTCCTACCTTAATATAACAAATAAATCAACCCTTATTTGTGATGGTGATAAAATACATACAAACTTATTGTGAAAAATTCTATATGAATTTTCATAAAAATTACAATAAAAGTGCTTCAAAAAAATGTCTCTGATGTCTCTCAATTCAAATAATACAATGTGAAAAATCCATCACCAATGTGCAGAAATCGTTCACCAATAGAAATGAATAAACTCACCAGAGCAAGTTGCTAGTAATGTTATAAACTAGTTATATTATTATTACTGAATTGAGTTTTGATTTAGTAAGCGCTACGTTTTTTGTGATTTACACTATTACCTTTTTTGAAGGGTGAGGTCTAGCAGCTTGAATATAACACAACAATATAATATTACTTTTTTGGCGCTGTTTTCACTTATATGTTATTTTACTAAACTTCTTACCTTACTTACAGAAAATGCAGAAAGAGTTACAGATCCATTTGTCATGTCCTGTGAAGACTGAGATTGAGTTCTGCAGTCACTTTTGCAGCAGTTGTTTCCTTATTCTGGGTCGCAATCCTGACCATATCGACCATGCTTATACTTATCAGATGAAGTTTTCCCCGGAAACTGTATATGCCGTCATAACCTTTGATACTATACCTCACAACATGGCAAATAAATTGTTAACTTCAGTTACAGAAGCACCAGCTAGGTGGGCACCAACAATCTGCCCTCTTTGAAAGTTGGTAAGCACTGATATGACTCCGTATTACTAGCAGCGTATGCAGTGAATGATGAAAGTGAGGCTTCCCACCTTTTAGCTAGGTGTCTCATCACACAGCAGAAGAAAAAGAATGTTACATTACATCCGCTTTCAATGTGTAACATGTCATCACTTTCACACCTGCAAATCATGTAATGTTTCTGTTTTTTGTCTAACCCCTGGATATATATTTAAAGAACCTTTACAATCACTTTAAGCTTGAGATTTTTCTTAACCAAATCCTGCAAATTTAAAACAACTGCCCCCTGAACCTAACTCCCTCAATCTACTTTTCTCATGCTCTTGCTCTATTATATGCGCTCTAACTACATTTTTAATCCCTCCCTCTCCCTACCTCTTTAAAATATGCACTGATCACTCCCATATTAAAAAAACAATTTGCTGAACCCCTGTTTGAACAACTCAAGACCCATCAGTTTGACCCACTTACATCCATATAGTTACATAGTCTAGCTGAAAAAAGACAAAAGTCCATGTAGTTCAACCAAAAAAAAAAGTTATAATCCTATACCTACAGTTGATCCAGAGGAAGGCAAAAAACCCAGTAAAGTATGATCCAATTTGCTCCTATAGGGGAAACAATTCCTTCCTGATCCCCAGAGAGGCAATGGGATATTCCCTGGAACAACTTTACCTATAAATGTTAGTGTCACGGTATAGGTGCTCTGCCAGGATTGCCCAAATCAGTTTATATTTCAGTCCCAATTAAAGTACATTTCAGTCCCCAAATAAAGTATATTTCAGTCCCAATTCAATTAGTACATTCCAGTCCCAATTCAATTAGTACATTCCAGTCCCAATTCAATTAGTACATTCCAGTCCCAACTCAATTAGTACATTCCAGTCCCAATTCAATTAGTACATTTCAGTCCCAATTCAATTAGTATATTTCCTCCCTTGTTGACCAGCTGCCATCCTGCAAGTAATGACCCCTTTCCACCTCTCATCCTGCCGCAGTTCTTTGAAGCCGAGCCGTGCAGGACAGGAGGTGCGGTTTCTGTCACTCCTTGCCACTATCTTCTCCCCATTTGGCTAGGCTAGATGGGAGAAGATAGCGAGGTTCACACCTCTCTGCGGAGAGGTGCAAACCTCCTGCGGGGATGTTCCGGACCGCGGCGTCAGACTGACACCGCACGATCCCGACATCAGCAGCGTGGGTACGGGGAGTTCCCGCGCTTGCGGATGCTGCTGGACAAAGGCTGCACGAGAGCATGACCCGTGTCCAGGGGGGCGTGCCTCGTTGCCGAGCGATGAGGCTTGCCGCCCACGGCCCGCTCACCATTGCCAGGACAACCGGGAAGCGTCCTGCATCGGTTTAAGAAGACCGATGTCGGGCTCTTCCCGGTCATCCGTTCCACTACCAAGCCACAGAGGGATCCCAGCTGAGGCGGGACCCTCGTGGCCACTCTGCACAGACCCCCCCAAGGATAAAGAACCAGCAAACACAAATGCTCCTGTGCTTGGGGATGGACTCGATGCAGGCTACAACCACATTAAGAATGGCCTGGAACATGCACACCTTGCTGCCCTCAAATGGACCGGGGAAATCCAAATATACTGAATGAGGAAAGACAAAACAGAGGGCGCACAGGCCTAGTGCATTACCATAAAAAATATTTAATAAAAAATAAAGTAGGTGTTGTACTCACAAACGACAATATAGTCAAGGCACATCATAAAGAACAGCTGGGTCAACACCGCGCTGAGTAACAGTCCGCAATAGGGAGTGTAGACATCCAAAATGCTGACGCGTTTCGAGGACTTGCCTCTTCCTCAGAGCCACTGTCCTCGAAACATTTTTTATGGTAATGCACTAGGCCTGTGCGCCCTCTGTTTTGTCTTTCCCCCCAAGGATAAGGGGGAGCCTCCACAAGCTGCTGCTCTGCAAGTCCCAGAGAAGGAGAGACCTCCGCAAGCTGCCACTCTGCAAGCCCCAGAGAAGTGGAGACCTCCGCAAGCTGCCGCTCTGCAAGCCCCAGAGAAGGGGAGTCCTCCGCAAGCTGCCGCTCTGCAAACCCCAGAGAAGGGGAGACCTCCGCAAGCTGCCACTCTGCAAGCCCCAAGGATAAGGGGGAGAACCACGTAGCTGCCCGCCGCAAGCCCCAGAGAAGGGGGAGACCTCCACAAGCTGCCACTCTGCAAACCCCAAGGATAAGGGGGAGAACCATGCAGCTGCCCACTGCATACCCCAGGATAGGGGGGAGAACTACGCCAGCTGCCCTCTGCGGGCGCCCAGGACTTGTGGAAATTATTACCTCGGACTACGCCACACATCATACTCCGGATTTAGGGCAAGTACTCGCTGTTATACTATCTTGCTCCCCTGTGAACCCGGGCACCCCTGCCAGATCCGTGAGTGTATGCTCCCCTGTTTTTCCCTGAACTGTTCTTGTACTCAATCCCCACCTCCCTGTTTGGATTACAAACTGCTGTAGAGACTTTAACCTTGCCCTGGGGCTGGACTACAAGTATTGTGGGCCCTATCCTTGTTATTTCCCATACTTGAGTGACTGTCATTTGCCTTAATAAAGCTTTGTGTGTTTCCAGGCCTTTTTTAAAGCAATCCACTGAGCTGGCCACAGCCAACTCTTGAAGGAGTCTATTCCACATTTTCACAGCACTTACTGTGAAGACACCTTTCCATATTTGGAGATTAAATCTCTTTTCCTCCAGACGTAAAGAGCGCCCCCTTGTCCTCTGTGATAACCCAAAGATGAATAAATCTACACCGAGTTCGCTATATGAACCATTGATGTATTCATACATGTTGATGCATTCTAATGCATTTAATTCTACAGTAAATACTAACCATAACATGCAACACAACTTTGCCCCTAGCAGCATCACCAGCCTCATATCAAGATATCACCCAAACTGTTCTCTTTTTTTTCCTCCTAAGATCTCCTGCACCCTAGCTCCCTAGCCGCCTTCTATCATGTACTGTATGTCTTTAGGATTTCTACTTTTTCCTAGGGAACTCCTAACTTATCTTAACCCCTTTGTGTCGGCTCCTCCCGGCCCTTTAAGAGTTTTAGAAGCTGGGAGGCGGGCGCGGTTTTAGGGTCATGTGATTCACTGTCACGGCGGTCACATGATTGGAAAAGGTCCTTGTTGCAAGGGGAGCTCAGGACCTTTCTGTGAGTAACGGATATACGTGCTGGGAACGCGCATGGTGCGCAGTATCAGCACATATGTATTTTCTAATGGCACGCAAATATGCAGGCGCTCGGCATCGAGGCCCAGACGCCGAGAGGCCGCATATTTGTGTGCGCTCGGTGTCTATGGGTTAATTTATCCAGCTATCTTCTTCTGTTTCTCTTCATTTATTACCTTTTGTATCATTTGTCTTTCTTGTTAGATTGTAAATTCTATTTGTCTTTCTTAATTTTGCAAAGCCTGAACAAACTGTTGGTGCTTGTAAATCCTGTATAATAAAGGATAATGCAATATATTTTCTGAGGAAAAAAGTAAACCATGATTGCACATACTGAGAAAGTTTCACAGCCGACCGCATGATTTTTTTTAGTAATATAGAGTGAATCTATCCCAAGGACAGGATGAGCTCCATTTCATTAACATACAATGCAAGAAGCCCATCTACTAAACCTTTAGCCCCTTGTTAAAACAAACAGTTTTCAAATCTAGATACAACTGATAATGAAATTCTGCCTGCACAGACATAGTAGTGTAAAACTAGGCAGCAGCAGGACATTTTTACATAACATTTTTGGCGTAGGTTTAATAGAGACAAAAAGTACAGGTAGGAATTTTAGTACAAGAATAAAGATGCTGAAAATGACGAAGCACTGTAAAATTGGCCAGGAGAGGGACAATTTTAAACAACAATTTTAGGCCAAAGTTAAGATAGATAAATAGCACAGGTACTGATTTTACAACAAGAATTGAGACACTGCAGAGGAAATAGCTATGTACAAATGCAAGCAGTGGGACAGTTCTAAATATCAATTTGTGGTCCAAATTTACTATAGACAAAGAGCACAGGTAGAGGTATAATTACAAGAAGTAAGAGGCAATAGATGACACAACACTTTAAAATTGGCTAGCAGCATGAATATTTTAATCAGGAATATAAAGGCCTTACTGGTGTATGCCTAACTTTTATTTTAATTATGGATATAAGGAGTGGTGTAATTTTGAGTGATATACTCCAATGTGTTTTAATTGCACACTGTTCTTCAACTTAGTTCTATTCTTATTTCAAACAATGCAGTTACATGCAGCAAACAAAAGGTTGCTCTTAAAAACAGATTGTAAGGAACAAGTAATTTCTGTGTTTTGAGCACCCCAAACTTAAAAAGTTCCCATCAACATGAAATAAAAAACACTTTAAAAAAAAAAAAAAAGATTGAAAACCCCAAATACCATCCCTGAAGCCCACTTATGTTTAAAGGTAAGCATTTCAGAAAAAAAAAAAAAAATAAAATAAATAAAAGTAGTTTAATCTAAGAATAGGACAGCTCAACATACAAAAAAATATATATTTTAATATATAATAGGTGGTCTGCTGTGCATAGCCATCCAAAGCAGTGTGCACAAGCTGACAGGGAGGGGAACTCTCTATGCTATGGCATCAACACCTACCTAAATAAAATGGCGCTGATGAACAGTGACCGCCTCTGATAGAAATCAGTAACTGCTCTTATAATTTTCCACCTGTCTCAATTAATTTTTAAATTAAACCAAGGGGTGCTTGCAGGGACAACCATGACTCAAGTTTCAGCTGATTCAGCATGAATCAGCAAAAATTTGAGCCATCTGTAGCCTGCTGCAAACTCTCAACACCTTAAATTAATCCATGGCTAACATGTTCAACGGTACAACTACTACACTAACTGGGAAGATAGTTTTCTTACTTACTGTTACTTTCTGTACTGAAATTACTGTGTGAGGTAATAGAAACAGTTGCCTAGCACCACACACACACAAAAAAAACCAGGCTATAGCTAAGTTGAGATGTAATCGGTGATTTTCATAATTCAGTGCCAAAACCTTCATTTTTGTCTTAGCCTTGCTTACCTTGACTTTTCACTTTTTGATATTTCATTTTCAATAGCATACTCATTACATTTCTGCATTTTCTTTTCTCCTATTAGAAAATATCAATTATGCAAATTATCTTAAAAGTGTCACATGGTCATCAATTCTGAACAATTGTTCCCACTTCCCACCAAGGTATTCAAAATGCTGAATGCAAAGAGGATCATTGTCTTAAATTCTCACTTTAACACCGACACCAAGAAATTCATCATTCAAAAGGTGCTTGTTAAATTGCTTCCCAGTAATTTGAATACAATTATGATTTACTTGTTAAAATGAAGTGAGGCTATAGAAGAAAAGGAATAAAGCACAAATAATAGACTTAAATAAAGCCATGATGTGGGATTTTGATGTCCTGGCCGAAAATAAGAAAAACAGGAGATTTAACAAAAAAAACCTGAAATATCCTGTACTTATGGTATGAAAGTCGCAAGTTATTTTTACAGTATAAGTAAGCTTTAACATGTACAGTACGCGTAGTATATTATCTTCCTAAATAAATATTTTATTGTGTAATAGTTTTCCTTTAAGTTAGTGTATGTAGGCCAAAACAGTTTGTTAAGTGGAAGAGTGGAAAATAATTAGAACCCTTGTTGGGTTATCAGAGATTTTGTTAGACTAAATGTTCAATAGCAAAGGAAAATCCAGCCTAGAACCTAGAAAATAATACATAGTAGTTTATAGGAAGGCACAAACCCCTGACCCTGTGTCCCTGTTGAAGATGATCTCTCACTTCCTGTCTGGTGAAATTGTATCTACCATAACAGCTTCTACCATGGGGCAAAGCTCCAGATGATAGTAAAATAACCTGACAGCATTAACAATATTTCCCAGCTTTTCCAAAACTTAAAATGGTTTTGGTTGGACTTACAATTTAGGCTTATTGGTGTAATAGTGGGAGACTCTAGTGCTCAGAGGGATCCTCCTGACAAATGGAATTGGTGCCTTTGGGCACACACAACAAACATACAAACATTCTCTCTTCGTTGGACCCAGGTTCCCTAAAATCATACATCAATTGCTCACTCATAGCTACACTCAGTACTATAATATACCCCCAACACCTTCATGAAAAACAAACCAGAAGGATTTGACCCCTTAGTTTAATCAATCAGGGCACTTTGTCCTTCCATGATTAGCTCTTCAACCTTGCAACAGGGAACCCAACAACATAGTGTAATCTGATTTCAGCATAATTCAAAACAAATACACTGCCTTTACATTTGTTAAAAAGAAAACACAGTCAATCATCAAAAGATAGCCTCCTCCTTTGCTATAATGGTCAATGGAATGCAAACCTGCAACTCATCCACAGGAAGTGATGCAGCAGAAATTATGTGTTCTTGGGTCTTCCCTGTTTTTAATTCATGGTGGCTGTCACATCGCAGTGGAGAAGGAGGGGAGGTTTTTAAGTTTTGGTGTGTGAATGGGAGATCTGCTCAGGGCTGTGGATAAGGGTGGTACCATCAGTTCTCTTGTACGGGGCCCAGGTCAGCAGGGGGTCCGGGCAGTTGGGTCAATTGAATGTGGGCAGGGAGGGTGATCGGCATGGCGGGGGGTAAGTTTGGCTCTCTCTGCAGCAGCTGAAAGCTGGCTTCTTCTTCTCTTCCTCCCACTGGCTTTCAGCTGCTACAGAGAGAGCCATGCAGGAAATCGGTTCTAGTAATTGCCCCCCCTCCACATTCATCACCCTCCCTGGGCACCATACATTTTCCCCTGCTGCCCATGCCCCCCACACCCGCAGTGCTGCCAGATTCTCTCCTCTCCTTCCCACCAGCTGCTACAAGCACACAATATGATCCCTCAGGATGGAGAGTGGGGGAAGTGTCCTGTAAATATATCACATTTACCAGTTCCTTCCTTCCCTGAATGGACATAGTTAATGATCGGTACCTATCACCAACTGTGCTCATTCATAACTGAAGCATAGTAAACTGTGTAATTTTTTTAGGGGGCCCTGTCAGGTTGGCTGTATGTGGCCCCGTGGTTTCTAACAGCAGCCCTTGATCTGGTTACTTTAGGTTGGCGAGAGAGAGATTATCGTGGAAGGAGTCCTGAAACTAGGCGAAAGAGAGCTGATTGACCCACCTATTAAACTAAGGGGTCAATGCTTCTGATGAGTGTTTATAACACAAGGGATGAAGTTTGGCTATGGCACGTTAAGTGGAAGAAGTTCACCAACCACTAAAAATTGGATTTTGAACTATTACATACAGAGCTTGCTTTTTACAGTACATACCATATTACAGTATGCATGATTTATATTGGCACAAGTTAAGTATGGAAGTGGGAGGCCACTATCTCACTGTTAATATTGAATTAATCACTGAATCGCACTTGTTTATGGCCACCAAGCTGACGATTACAAGGGCTTGGAAGACTCCCCTCCTCAGCTTTGAAGCCGTCAAAAACCGGATGAACTTCATAATGGTCAATGAAAAATTGACGGCTATACTGTTGGACTCCCACACAAAAATCCTGCAGACATGGCGTCCCTGGCTTGATATAGCCCAACCATCGAGATTCGACCAGTCCCTTTTGTCGATATAAAATTTACATATCAGTTTATTCTTTTTTCTTTCCTTCTGCTGCGGTCCCCGTGGAGCCCTTTTTGTTTTCGTTTTCGTCTCCTTCTTCTTCGTTTCTCTCTTTCCTTTTGTCTAGTCTGTTTTCATGTCATGTGTACTGATTGTGCTTATTGCTTTGAGTGCCGCGCTAGCAATACCATATCCTTATGCTGGACTCCTTCGGGAGCCCTGCGCGTGGAATGCCCATTTTTTTCAGAGAGGT